AATACTTCATGGTTAAGGTTTCCTACTAACGCCATTGTAACTTACTATCACGCTTAAAATAAGTTTTAATTTCGAGAAATACAATGCTGATTACTAATGTTCGAGTAAGTAAAAGACACAAGTTAAAAACACATACATGTCTGTTTAAATAAGAATATTTTGAACGGGAAAGAATTTAGGAAACTAAGAAATGTTTTATGAGAAATAAATTTTTCAAACAGGAGGATAATTTAGCATTAACACTCTCGTACCCCCTTCTCTGCTCTTCACTGAAGCCGAATTCGGCCTTCATTGCACATTTAGAATAAGGCAGTAGAGCTACTGACACCAAAGTCAAAAGCGCTGATGGGAGGCCATGGAGAAGTCACTGTCCTGCAAGAACGTTCTTAGATTTTACCATCTTCAGCAGTTTGCGCTTGGTGGTCAAAGACAACCCGTGGTGGGCGCATGACAATGACATGAGAATAAACACGGGAACGAGCTAGTTCATATTCCATAGGTCAATGATTTGGTAAGACTACTGGCTTCCTGACTCCACTTTTGTTGGCTGTTTACAAAGTCTATGGAGAATTTGGTGCAATTTCAAAGTATTTTCTTAGTATTTTCAAAGTATTTAAATCAGTCCAAACATATGTAGCATCACAGCATACAACTTGTTTAGTAAAGGTTGCAGTGATACAATAATAATCCAGCTCTCTGTATGTTATTAAAAATTCTTTGATGGATACCAGCAAATGAAAGTTTTTTGCTTTGTGTTCCAGTTTCTGTTCAGAACTTTTGAGAGAACTTTTCCCCTGAAGATTATCTTCCTACAGTGCTCATTGCCGTCTTGCAAAATGAACAGAAGCCTAACTGTCATTGTACAATGGTGCAAATTGGGACCTGATCTGGCCTGCTAATAAGCGGCAAATAAATGTTGACAAGGTCGACACGCATCCTTCTGTTAGATGAAAAAACCCACAGGCTAAAATGGTATATCTCAACCTTTATTGTAAACAAGCAACATGTAGCCAATCAGCACGCAGTCGCGAGAGTGTTGCGCGTGGTGTGGAGTTGGATATTTGCATATAGGGTGGGTCAACTCCTGACTTGGGCCACAGTAATGAATAATGCTCAGGTAAATACAGTGAAATGCATTGTTTTCATTCAAAAACCTGAATATTCATAGGGACGACACTCTTGCGATGTGCAGTTGCTTCTGTGAGTGAGCTAATAAACGAATGACAGGTAAACGGACCACTCAGCATGTAGAGTAGTCACCGCGTGCCACAGTGGCGGTGCGTGTGGTGAGCGGAGTGGCCGTAATGCACGGTTGATCATTTTCAATTCAGAAGGTACTTGGGAAAATTTCCTCCCAAATCAGGCAAATTTGGCTTATACGGCAAGCAGACATACTGAATTTAGCACAGTTACTTTTTTCAGTTTCCCTGTGTTTCGGGAGTCGTAATTCCATGAACTGCAGGGTACATACATTTAGCATATGCCTTTCCGTGGGTGTGGAGTACCGGGCTTTTTGACACTACAAAGGGTGTCTGTTTATTTGTAATGTGTCTACAGAAAAACCTCTAAAATTATCATATCTATTACTTTCCGGTCTAAAAGGATTTTACACTGCAGTAAATGCTTTCGCTTTCTCCCCAAACAGACGAGGTCAAATGAAATTAACAATGCTCCTTTCCGACCATGTCTAATTAAATAGTTATGTACTTCAGGGTACTATGCACAACTCGTTCTACACTGAATCGCGGGCTGAACGCAAGGCAAATTCCAGACTAGCTTCAGACTGGTTTACGTTTGTCTCGCTACTTACGTTGTTGACCGAGAATGGAGGATGGTACCCCAACTTATCGCACAAATCGTTTTACAACTCATAGAGAACGGAACCCTAACTGATTTCATTCGCTCTAGTACGTTTTACACGAACGAATTTTTCCAAGTTTTCATTTTGCTCTCCGAAAAATCCTCTTCGCACCAGAAAGTAATAGCTGAGAAACACTGACGTTGAATTTTGTGCCTCTGTACATCTTCAACAGGCCGCTCAAGCCGCTTGCCTTCTCATGCCATTTACGCGCATGCGCACATAAGTTAGCATGATTAGTGGAAGAGCAGCCGGACACGCCCGTACGTGTACGCACCGATGTGATGTGCACGTAGGCCTGTCGCGCCTCACACTTCACAGAAACGTTTGTTGATTCTTTAGGTGACTGCAAATTGTCTTTACAACTAAAGTTAGAGTTCGTGATGGAGCCAAAGGTAAATCTTTACGTTTGTGTTGCCCTCTGTCTTTTACTTCAGACTCTCCCTGCATCAGGTGAGTACCGTGAGTTCATTTCCCACTTGTTTATTAGTCTGTCAAATGAAGCACAAATTTAGCGCAAACTGTACGCAAGCTCAAAGGTGTTGGAGTGTCAGCCCCTCTTAGGGGCATATAAAAGCTACCTCAGTTTAAGTGAGGCCTTATCAAATTTTGCCGGTGGATGTCGTGTTTTTCCTGACTCTGTGTGTTACTTGTGAATGACATTGCCTTGGATTTTAAGTTTATTACGAAATGCTGGCCGGAGCAAGTTTCATCTGTACAGTGTATTATTCAACTGCTCTGGAGTCTTCCTGGGACTAATTAGAAAAAAACATGCTTTGCAGTTTGACCTTCAAAACATATTGCTACACGGTAACAATGATGGTCTGTGTGCCCATGACAGAACAAAACTTTATTCCAAGGTGAGCTTCACAATTGACATTCATCGAATGGCACCCATACTGTGAATCAGTCTATACCATCGAGGCAATACACTAATATAACAATGACCTAGGACTGAGCAACAACTGCCAATCCATAGGCAGAAGATGAAAATCGTTTAGTCGTGGTGAATGATTGGGGAAGGAATTCATGGACGGGACGTGCGGCGCCGATGTGTGATACATGCACAAAACCGATCCAGCCACGTAACGTGCACAGTACACCGCGGCTTGTTACACACGTACCGCAGCGTACGTGTACATGTACATGAACAGGTACTGTACTGTACATGGAAATTCTTGACCGTTGGAGAGGGTGTACATGTTCATGTGGTACAGTACATGTAAAACTGGGGATATATACCGTGAATTTCGACATTTTCCCTGCAATTTTATAATGACAGACAGACCTGAATAACAAACTTCATGTTAACTTACTGTAGTACTTTTGAGTTCGTCTGTCGTTCCTGAGTCACTGAATTCTTACGCTCGCAAGGCAGTAAGATTATGCGGGATGAACGGAATCAGTTATGAGTTAAGTTAGGTCGATATGCAAACGCGCCCGGTCGGGAAGAGCACAAAACCGTCAGCAAACCTACGATCTTTCTCCAGCACAGCCCACTTTTGAAAACTTCAGGAAAATTTCGAATTCTTTGTTTCGAGCCTTTAAAAATCGCATCAAAACGTAAGCAAAGTACCGCTTTACGAAAAGAGCTTTTCACAAAAATCACTAGTTTTGACCACTCTGATACTAATTCCTCAATTAAGTTTCATAAAACACGTTAGGAAAAGGCCTTATCTTACCATGAAAATATTTTGGGCAGGAACTGTTATTTCCAAAAAGTGAAAATAAGACGTGCATTTCATGAAATAAAGCAGCTGTTTGCCTGACACGAATTCCCATGGCCCTCATTATGCATGCAAATGACCCTAAAAACGGGACCTGCGCAGTTAATTATTTCCCTCTGAAACATACGTGCGTGGGACCATGCTGTTCGTTCTGCGACCAACAGAGCATTGCAATTTGTTAAAGTGCGCGCGGATGCACAAAAAGGACGCGTGTGTGAGTGTAGCGTCTCCGCGGGTGAGTCTAAACATTGGTATAGTGTAATTCGACAACCAGAATTAGAAGCTTTCACTTAGGTGGCGTGGTGCTTATCGACAGCTGGTACGCGCGCGTTACTGGCCTCTCCGACCAATAGGGTGTCATGATTTGCCAAATTCACGCGCGCGCAAAGATGGAGAATGTTCGTGTGTGTGCGAAGCCACCGCAGTTATGGTCCACACCAACAAAATGAAAATCGGAAAACTTGGCATAATATTACAAAAATAACATACCCAACTTTTCTGTACCTTTCAACTGAGCTGTTTTAAATGCAAGTCAGTATTATCTCGTAGGGTTTGTGTAAATAAACAGTACAAAAACCTCCACTTTAAAAAATGGGGGTTTGAAGATCTTTGGTCTGGTTCACGAATCTAATGACTTGCAGTGGGTCGAATATAATCGAAACAACGTTGTGGATGGAATACGCATACTACTAAGTGCATAGCCTACTTTGCATATGTGACGCGCTCTGTAGAAATGAGTGATAATTTGTTCCATTTAGCGTTAGAAAGAGCAAGTTCAGCGTTTTGCGTTGATGCCTCATTCAATTTGCCATCCCGACAAAAATGGATTTTATGTGGGTAAAAAGAACATGGAAGGTTCCAACTACTTTATGCTGTGTTGGATTCTTTTTCAAAAGCCTTTAACTCAAATGTTGCTCTCGCTACTCTGCCTGTGGATTTCCAATTTTCTGAAAGATTGTTAAGATTCTTTGATTGTAACTACTTATAAAGAGCAATATTGCAAATTACTAATGAGTATCTATTTCTTGTGTATGGCTCTCCCCAAGTCAAATCCTTTCGTCTTGCCCTTTCTTCACAGTGTTGGGGTTAAGCTTAATCATCAGGAGAACATTCTATCCACAACCCGCAAAACCAGTAAATTAGTTTTTGAGGAAAACAATCGAAATTTGGTTTTGCAGTGTTAACTGTACGCATCAAATCAAAGTGATAGTGATTAATTACAAATTGCATATTCAGATATTGATAATAAAATTACAGTGTTTCAGTGGGGGATATGTTCTTCTCTGTGTAGCTTATTTCACCTTTGGGGAGTGCTTTTACTAGGAAATTTTGTAAAATATTAACATAGTCAAAAATCCTAACAAGAAAATCAATGTCCAGTCTTTCTACACAGAAACTCAGTAGTTGTCATTGCAAAAATTGGGTACCATTCGACCTAATCGAGTTCACCGAGATATTGGATACATTTAGAAATTTTACATGAAATTTACAAAGTTTTATTAAACACAAATAACACTCAACATCTGTTATCAAAATAAAATTTTACCCCAATACTACCAAATTTATATGGCACGTACGTGAATGATTTAACGCAGACTGTGTGTTACTGTGTGAATAAGCAAATCCCCCTGAAAGTCCCCTTTTCTTTCTCGACTCTCTTCGGTAGATGCGATCATACGCCGTGTGCGTCGAAGGGGTGTAAATGGTGAGTACGCAATTACAGTGTAATATGATTTAGTAGAAGATATGAGCAAGTCCAGCAAATGCTGTTACAATGTTTCAAATATCCATTACTTCGATTACAATGGTGGCTTCGTCAACATGTAATTTCTACTGTGTACACTTCCACAAGATACATCATCTATCGTGTTGTGCATTTTTTCCCTTTAATATTATGGGATACATTATTATCACAGATTTTTATTATAACACACAGGAATACCCCAATTACCGCCATGCCCCTCTGCCCAACTACCTTCACTGGGCAACCCCGTCGATTTCACTTGCTTTTAAAAACTCTGTCTACAACTCCCACCCGCTCTCGTTAAGACCTGAAACTGCTTCTTCGTTGATATGATTTCAGTGGTGAAACAGGAGGCATTTTCTGGGAGTATATTGTTCAGGTTTATCCGCTCTTTGCCTTGTAGTCGTTCGGAAGACTGAAGATTCGCAACCGCCGGTCTTGGTGAAGGGAACTTGTCCCTCCACTATGACTGTGTACGTCGACTCTCCATCATCGAAAAAGATTGTCCAGTGGTCTAAACCACGAGCAAGTGACAAAAGCCCACCGGTCAGGTAAGGAACCAAATCTTTGGTGGAGTCAGTTGATGAATACAAGATATGTGTTGGAATGGTCGAGGACGCCATAAAGGTTAGCCAAATGAGATCAGCGAAGGATTGTAAAGCATAACAAGTTGACATCAATTGTTCAGATTGCGAATGATATTTTGAATATGATGAGCCCTGACGAATTGGTTATTACATGCAAAATAAGACAGGTTTTAAATCCCCAATTTCTTCCCCTCGAGGAATATTATTGTCTTGACACGTCTTCTTGAACACTAACATTAGTGGATTCCACGATCCCTCGATTCTCTGGAGGATCATGTTCCGCTGCCGAGTATATCCTTCGGACTTGTATCGATTTGTTCAAAGGTCATTGTCCTGTAAATAGGTGGCGTAAATTTGCGTGGGAAAATTGGGGAGGAAGGTGGGCATGGGGAGGGGAGTTGACTTGCCTGGCCATGGAAATGTGAAAGACGGAGGGGGATGCTGACACCACATGACACCATACATGGGCCGATGCTCATGATACAGATTTCCCTCTGCAGGTTCAGTGCATACAATTTTTTAAATTTCTAGTTGAAAACTCGTGTGTTTTTCTTCAGTGTGAGCAGAGAAGATGGCGGGCCGCTCAATGGCGGCTACTTCAATGCCTCCAGTTCTCCTTATCACGTCAAGTATTCGGCCACAGATGCCGTTGGTAACAAACGGATCCCCATTTGCTCATTCACTGTCAACGTTAAGGTGAGTATGAAATGTTCTTTGGCCAATTTTTATATTCTTTACTACGAAATGGTGGCTGACAGGAGGGCCAAGGCGTAAGGTAAGACAGAATCATATCAGAAAAATTAGGAAACAATGACAAGGCCTTTTATGCATAAAACTATGGCACACCTAGTTTATTATGACATTAAATGGTGGTGAAATGGTGTAAAAAGTAGACAACACACAGAATGCATTCGCGTAGTGAGGAAAGATTCAACCACCACATATGGGGTGTGCAGGTGTCTAAAAAAGGTCGGTATAGGTCTGCTGCATGAACTGCCATTACAAAAATAACATGGCTTTTACCTAAGTATTATTACTATGATACAACAACATATTTTGTATTTAGTAAGTTGCAGCTACCTCCATGGTGGTAGGGGTTTGACCTTCAAGAAGCAGAACCGCTATGTTATGAGACTCATTTAAGGAATGGCTAGTGCGACCTCAAGGCCCTTGGGCTGGAAGGCAGGTCAGACCGGAAGGGCTAGTGAGGCAGTCCGTCGGCTTTATAAGGAAAAGCCGGTAATCATTAATTTGACTAGCCCTACGGTTCATTCGTGTAGCATTAATATTCAAAAGATTAGAAAGCAATCCCTAATAAGCCAGGGAAACTTGCATGAAGAAAATGGAATGTCCATTAAATGTATGAAACCCGAAGGGGATCTAGCAATCGGGCAGAAAGCTGCAAATCGAACCAATTGAACACACACCTGCGACCAAAAATAGGGTCTACAACTTTGTCTCAAGGCGTCTTCTTGTGTCGATCCATAAAACCGGTTGGGTTATCCACCCAGAGAGGAAGCACACCTCAATTGCTTAAAAAGAGCCATGTTGGTCCAGAGTGCTCATTTTGTTGGTAGCGATGTGACTACAACGCTTGCGTTTCATAGTCGTTCGTAAAACAGCGGTGCGCAGTTACTACCAAAGGAGCCTCCTTTGCTAAGAATATTGCGCCCTCTCTTGGCCCAGCTCGAAGCCCATTCATGTAGTATCCCTGAACACTGTCGCTGAAATTGATTTTCTGACTGGTACACTGCACTGGTGCTTTGGCTTTAATAGATTAAGAAACCATACTTTTTCTGTTCCCATCCAGGTTGAGGATAAGAAGCCACCCAAGTAGAGCGACATCAATGCCCAGCCTGTCTGCATGTCAACGGTTGTTACTTGGAGCAGAGTGTACACTATCCGAGTCGAAACATTGCAGCAACAAAATTCAGATTAGACCAGTCGATTTGCTTCTGATTTACGTAATACTTCATGGTTAAGGTTTCCTACTAACGTCATTGTAACTTACTAACACGCTTAAAATAAGTTTCAACTTGAGAAGTACAATGCTGATTACTAATGTTCGAGTAAGTAAAAGACACAGGTTAAAAATACTCTGATCAACAAACAGCGTACATACATGTCGGTTATAAAAATGGGTATTTTGATCGGGAAAGAAAACTATGAAATATTTTATGAGAAATAGATTTTCAAACAGGAGGATAATTTAGCATTAACACTCTCGTACCCCCTTCTCTGCTCTTCATTGAAGCCGAATTCGGCCTTCATTGCACATTTAGAATAAGGCAGTAGAGCTACTGACACCAAAGTCAAAAGCGCTGATGGGAGGCAAGGGAGAAGCCACTGTCCTGCAGGAACTTTGTCTAAAATGTGTTTATGTGAATGGGGTAAACCCTCAGGTCATTTCGGTAAGCTAATGCATTTACTTATTGTGAAAAGTGTAGAGTAAATTTGAAAGATTTTATGGTCACAGACAACCCGTGGGGGCGCATGACAATGACATGAGAATAAACCCGGGAACGAGCTGGTTCATACTCCACAGGTCAATGATCTGGAGAGACTAAAAGCTTCCTGACTCCACTTTGCTGGCTGTGTACAAAGTATATGGAGAGTTCAGTGCAATTTCGAAGTATTTTCTAAAAACATTTGAAATACTGTTCGGTCCCAGATTCATGTCTTTTCAAATTTTTAGCAGTGACTGACCTCCATCTTGTATCACAACTTATGAGGAGCTACAGAACTTCTTTTTTATTTCCAATTTTGGACTTGATCTACGAGCCTATCACGTCCAAATTTGAAAAACAAGCTCAAATGTCTCAGTCAGTGGGTCTCATCATAACTGGTGGCAGGATTCTTTCCAATGATTTATATTCTGTCAGGTTTCGTAATCGTTATGAAATCAAGTACTGTAATGTTTGTTGCTGCAGTGAACAAACCACCAGTACAACTCAGGCCTAGACGTTTTACTGTACTGCCTCATGCCATGTTCCTAAGTAGTACAACCAGGTTGGCCTAAGGAGGCTTGAGACCCCCACCTGCTTGAGCATCCTGAACTATTCGGGGGATGAATTCTGGTCCAACCTCTCCCCCCGCCCATGACAAAGCCTGGTTAAGCCACTGCATTTAACTATATTTGTTGGCCATTTCAGTTTGAATTTAAATGAGACCAAACATATGTAGCATCACAGCATACAACTTGTTTAGTAAAGGTTGCAGTGATACAATACTAATCCAGCTCTCTGCATGTTATTGAAAATTCTTTGATGGACACCAGCAAATAAAAGCTTTTTGCTTTGTGTTCCAGTTTCTGTTCGGAACTTTTGAGAGAACTTTTCCCCTGAAGATTATCTCCCTACAGTGCTCATTGCCGTCTGGCAAAATGAGCAGAATCCTAACATTGCAGAATGGCGCAAATTGGTACCTGATCTGGCCTGCCCGCCCCACCGTTGCCGCCCCGCGTATGGAAACCTTGATCTCATCTGCTCAAACAATGCGCCCCGCATAGGCTAAATCGGCCGATTTTCTGAAACGTTCGCAGAGTCCCGAGATTGGAGCAAACGGATTTTGCTTTAAAGACTATTTGCACCACATGTAATCTCCAATTTGTCGGAAAATCGATGTTCATACAGAAAAAAAAATCGCCATTTTTGTGTGGAGAGACAGCAAAAACGGTCCATTCCACGTTGCTCCTCCGTCTTTTTCAGCCGTTACTCGGCAGACTCTTGGCCAAGCGGTCCTAGCGTAAAGGGTTTAAGAATGGTTGGGGTATAAGCTTTCCTTTGATAAAACACTTGACGTGATTTGTCACTTACTTTTATCAGAAAAGGGAATTGAACAACAGAATTTAGCCTCTGAAATGACCTGGGCATTCGTGTATTGAGATGTCCCAGATGTTACGTCAGTCAAACAACGTGCACACGTCATCAAATATTCAGCTTGGCTTTTCCGTTACAAAGTTGATTGGTTTGCAAATATTTTCATAAAATAAACTCTGATTTATAATATAGACAAATCCGACGACCAAAATTAGAAGCCACTACTATGGGGCCATCATATTCGCCTGCAGTCAGTGCGCGAGCCGGTGAAATTCCTCCTTGACCAATAGGCAACAGTCAATTACCGAAGAGCACGCGCTCTCTCAGGTCGAGACAGCTGCGTGAGTGTAAATAGCCCCTCGGAATGGTGTCTCGTTGGATTTGACTATACCATTAAAGCAATACATTAATTTCAGGCCAAATTTAATGTGGAGATTGACAATTTTGCACCATTTTTGCAAGATTGCATGCACCCTTTTCGTGGAAGGTAAGTTGTAAGTGCACGGAAGCTGTAATTCACCATCCTTTAGGAGACGAAATGGGCCAAACGTTTCCCTGTAATTTCACGGTCCATTTTGGTGTTGCCATCTCAAATTTTACATATTCTTGCGTTCATGATTGGCCAAGGTACCCCTCAAAACAGAGAAATCTGAGAACAGATCATGCTTATTTTTATGGATTGATCAGCACAGGCTATGCATGCATGGGTGGTCGCAACTATCCTGGAGATGACCTGGGCCGGCTAATCAATACCAGCGTTGACTGATGCGTTTCCTGTACGTAAAAAAACACAGATGGTTTCTAGGGTTACTCCGAATGCGGTCGTGTCAGAAAAGTGAGGCTGCAACAGCTAGTCATAAAACGTGCGCCTTTGGACTTGAACCACTAGCTTGTGGCTTGAAGGCGTATCCGCTTCATTAATGGCACTCCGTGAAACATAATGTTGGCACGGGAATTCGTGCCCCTTCTACAGAAATATCGTCAGCATTCAGTCTACAGCAGTCTTAAAAATTCTTACTTCCTTGACGGTCGAATTGGAATGGTAGAGAAATAAAAACCAGACTACTTGAAAGAATGCATAAACGGTTGCATTCTCTCGACTAGACCAAACAAACCAATATTCCCAATTCCCAATATTCAACATTACTAATAAGTAATTTCACCAACTTGCTATGGCATCTACAGCATCTTGGCCAGCCGGAAGGCAATAAGGGATGTGATTGGTCAACGTGTTGCAAGCTCTTGGAGGCGCACTATTGCGAAACGCCCGTATTTTACAAGTTTGTAAAGCCATGTCCGAATCACTTGGCTATGGCCGTAGACCGTAGACTCTGGTGTAATTTCAAGCCGCTGCCAAATGATTCGGACACCATAGCCTCATCTGTTGAGTTCGGTCGTTCCTTTGAGAACCGTGAAAAAATGAGCCATAATTCGCGTTTTCCTCGGTGATTACCGTGACACGAACACCATCTGCAAGAGTTGGTTCCTACTAATCACTACAGTAACCCTTGGGCACTAATCGAATGTGTTGCACCGAAATTATGAATATTTTCGACAAAAAAATCAAAGACAGCAGCAGGGCTATAATCTTCCACAGGTTAGTGTTTTGTTCACAAACTTTTGGCACGGTAAAAAAGCCGCCACTCTACGACTGGTAGCTTCAATGACATCCCCATCAGGAACGCTAATATTTCTCTGAGTAACACGCATGCGTACGAGTCTTGATACGTGTATTATAATTACCCCTAACCCTCGTAGGAAAAAAAATACGCAGATAACGGGGTTCAGACAACAGTTGGCAGCAGCACACGCCGGCATAGGTAAACACTTGCGTATCTTGCGTGAGGTCATCTCCACATAGGTCTTTGGAGATCGAAATATTTGCTAGAGAGAACGTGACCGTAACTCGGCAGAGTCTACCCGTAGCGTGTCTGGGAGTTGTCTTTACAACTAAAGTTAGAGTTCGTGATGGAGCCAAAGGCAAATCTCTACGTTTGTGTCGCCCTCTGTCTTTTACTTCTGACTCTACCTGCATCAGGTGAGTACCGTGAGTTCATTTTCCCAGTGTTAACCACGAAGCTGTTAACCCAAAAACAAAATTACCTATACGTCACTGACGAAGAGAACTTTAGATTGCAGTGATGGAACCACTTAAGCGCATATAAAGCTACCTCAGTTTAGGTCAGGCCCTTAGAGTTGTATGTAAGTTAATATAACTCTATGGTCAGGCCTCATTTGTTGGTGGATGTCGATTGTTTCCTTGTATATGTGTAACTTCTGAATGGATCGCCGTGGATTTTCAATTAACTTTATTACATAATGCAAGCCGGAAGAAACTCTCATCTATTTATTTTATCATCAAAGCCTTGGTGTCCTGAGCGTGTTTTTTAATCGTGAGAGTCAACCATAAAACCGCACCTTCAGTCTGACCTTCAAACGATCCGAATCCAAGGTATTAAGTGTTGTTAGAACATCATCAATAGGGCACGTTCGATATAGTAATGAAAGTACGACGTGCGTCACTGCTGTGCGCACAAGGCCTTACAATCCCGCGGTCAAGGACTTTACTGGTTAAGAACGATGGTATGTGTACCCACGACCAAACAAAGTTAAACCAAGGTGCGCTTAAATAAACAACACGTGACATTCATCGAGCTGCTTTGGAGTCGAGCAACCGAGGCGACAACATCGTCCATGATTTGCCCATCAGCTCACCATTCATAACTGGGAGAAAACATAATTTTCTGCTTCCAGAAGTTGAAGGAATTTTGAGGGGGTTGGGGGGAACGATTGGGGAAGAATTAACTGATGGACGGGGATGTGGGAGACTGTTGTTTGATCAAAAGGCTAAATGGCAATGGTGTATGCGAAAAGTAACTACGGAAGTTATAGTGTAATATTTGATAACCCGAATTAGAAGCCATTACTGCGGTGGAACCGTGCTCGTGGACAGGTGGTACGCGCGCGTTACACTCCTCTCCGATCTGTCAAGCATTGTGACTTGCCAAAAGGGTGCGCGGGTGCTTACAAAAGACCCGTGCGTGAGTGCGGCGTCTCCCTGGGTGAGTCTACAAACGCATACCCACAGAATGGATGGGGAAACTAAAATCGGGGAAAATTCTTGTAATATCACAAAAAATAACATACACAACTCTTCCGTTCCTTGAAAGTAACCTGCATGTACATGTACACAAGTTACATAGCGTTGGGGTTATGCTGAATTATTGGGAAATCATTTCATCTATTACACTCAAAACTAGCAATCGAATTTTCAGTAGTTTCTATCCTGTTCTGAAATCAAATCACTTCACGTCTTAAAAAGCCCTTTTGGATTTGTAAATAAACACCTTTACCAGTATATTTTGTAAAATATCGACATGGTCAAAAATCCTGAAAACAATGTCAATCTTCACTCACTCTACAGCAACTTTGCAGTTTCACTACCAGAATATATACCCCTCTACGTCATCGTGTTACCGAGATATTTGATACATTTACATACCTACTGTACGACGGTATTTTATCTTTTTAGACATTACTTTATTTTAACTTTTACCCAATATATTAGAAAATCCGTATAGCAATTATGAAAAATGTTACAAAGACTGTAAGTCCCTTTTTCTTTTTTCCACTCTCTTTGGTAGATGCGTTTGGACGCCGCAGGCGTCGACACACTGGAAATGGTGAGTACCTACGGAGCACAGTCCAAACTGATTTGGTTAACGGTATGAGTAGGTTCAGCAGACGCTGTTGCGACGTTTCACAGATCCACTGCTTAGATTGCTTCAACTGCTTGGAGGCTGCTTGGATGCTTCGTAAACATGTAATTTCTATCGTGTACGCCTATACATGCACACTTACGTAAAATATAACCTATCGTGTTGTGCATTTTCTTCTTTTAGATCATTTTTTTTAAAAAGGAAAACCCACGTATTATTTAATCCACACATCCTTTATACATGTCTACATGTGTGAATTTTCACTGTCTTGATCATTCAGGAGTAATAGTCATTGTGTCACAGTTTTTCGCAATGTAAACCTAGCCACCTGGTTTCCAAGTGAACCCCGATGGAGGGTCAAACAAACTGTGTTTATGTAAATACTTGTTGCCTCACTGTTACGAAACCTGAGGTATTGGGCTTTTTTATTTTCATTTCTAGTCGTTCGCAGGGCTCTAGATTCGCAACCGCCGGTCTTGGTGAAGGGGACTTGTCCCTCCACTATGACTGTGTACGTCGACTCTCCATCATCGAAAAAGATTGTCCAGTGGTCTAAACCACGAGCAAGTGACGAAAGCCCACCGGTCAGGTAAGTAATCAAATCTCCCGGAGTCCGCCTACAAGATACGTATTGAAATGGCTGGCCTTATCGAGGACGTCACAAAGGTTAGCTAAATGTGACCATACATGAACCGGTGAAGGATCGTTAAGCGTAAGAAGCTGACATCCATTGTTTGGGTTGCGAATAATGGAATATTTTGAATATGATGCACACTGACGATCTGGTTATTAAAAACAGAATGTAGGCAAAATGCTGAGTGGGAAATGAAGCCTTTTCGATGCTGTCTGTGTATTAAACTCAGTGTGTTATTCACCAATCACACCGTGTACTCAAGGTGTCAAGTGCGTACTACGTGATCACAACGAGAGAGAACTCCGTTGTGCCTCTTTTTACAAAGTCTTGGTCCCGCGGTGTTTTAATCCGCCCTTTCATGCTGAAAACAAAATGTTTCAGCATCAACGCGTCGTCTTAGACGTTAACCTTAATCGATTCCACGACGCGTTCGATTCTCTATAAAACGATCGTGTTTTGCCACAGAGTATAGATTCCTCTGGATTTGTACTGTATTGACTTTACACAAAGATCATCGTCTTTTTTTTTTTTTTCAAGCAATATCCTCTCGAGACCAGGACGGCGTCTTCTTGGCTCGTCATAATACATGAAATCCCGATTCGTCCAGCTGCACGCTCAGTATACACAAATATTTGCTTGTTTAGGAGAAAATTGTTATGCTTGTCTTCTGCAGTTTGAGGAGAGAAGATGGCGGCCCAGCCAATGGCGGCTACTTCAATGCCTCCAGTTCTCCTTATCACATCAAGTATTCGGCCACAGATGCCGTTGGGAACAAACAATCCCCCATTTGTTCATTCACCGTCAACGTGAAGGTGAATATGAAATGTTCTTCTGCCATTTGTAGAACCGTTGCTGCAACATGGTGGCTGACATGAGGGCCAAAAGTGGTCATTTCGGAAAGTCAGTAAACAATGACCAGGGTTTTAGTGCACAAAGGTGTGATAACACTAGTTTATAATGACACAAAATAGAACTGATGTGTGCAAAGTGGTCAAAATACGGAATGCTTATGCGTATGGGGCAGGGATTCGAGCTACCGCAAACAAAAGGAGAGGACTTTTAAAAAAAAACAGTCGATATTTCGTGCGTATACGTCTACTGCATGGACCTCCATTACAAAAACAACATGGATGATTAAAGGATCACTAACCAGTGTCAAGTAAATTGAGCAACTGGTGCTTCGGCTTTAATAGATTAAGAAGCTAACTGATAACTTAATCGTACCTTGCTGTTCCCATCTAGGTTGAGGATAAGAAGCCACCCAAGTAGAGCGGCATCAGTGCCCAGCCTGTCTGCACGTCCACGGTTGTTACTTGGAGCAGAGTGTAGACTATCTGAGTTGAAACAAAGAAGCAACAAAATTCAAATTAAACCCATGGATTCACTTTACTTTGCACGATGTATTTATAATACTTTTACAGTTTAGGCTTTGGAACTAACACCACTTTCAAATGGGCATAATTTAAAATCAGTACCGGTTTTGAAAACACACAGGAAATTACTCTGATTTTCGTATTAGTAAAAAATACTCCAGAAGTTAAACAAATCCTGATCACCAATTAGCGTACATGCATGTTTGTTTAGATATTGGGTACTTAAATGAAGAATTCTTTGAAACAACATCGGAAATTTAGTTAACAAGCAAATATATTACTAGAAATAAGTTTTTCACACACGGGAGAATCTCCCATTTAAAGGATAGCTGCAATCAATTTGTTTTAATACAAATCACCTAATTAACATTTTTGTCCAAATTAACTTCGTACGCAACTTTTGTTTCACTTTTTCAAAGAGTGCCTTTTTGGTTTGGATGCTAATGAGTGTTTCATTATTCAGGAGCAAAACTGTGACGTCATCCCAGGAAGAAGGCCTCAATGTTACATTGGTTTGAACCCCAAAAGTCCTGCATTTTTGTAGACTGCTGTTCATGTGCAAAGCAACAAGCAAGCATCCATCTCTTTCTCAGAAATATATTTAGTAAGTAAATTCTCGGGTCACAAGTTGAACAGAAAAATCTGTGCACTGAACTACGCCTTCCCCTGGTTGAGATCGCAGCAACAGCGCCCTCTGTTGTCGGCGAAATCATAGATGATTTTTAAGTGCTCAAAAAGTGCACTTTATAATGTGTTCAAACTCATGAGTTTTAATACAATGAAGAAGAGTATATAAAAATGCAGAAAAACAGTGTCCAACAAAAATTCATTGCAGCTACACTTGCAGCTACAGCTACAAGTTCTCGTACCCCCTTTTCCGGCTCTTGAATGAAGTCGAATTCGACCTCCATTGCGTATTTGGAATAAGGCAATTATCTGTGGCTACTGACATTAAAGCCAAGGCAAGCGAGAAGTCACTATCCTGGCGGAGCTTTTTAGTCTGCGATGCGTACGAGTGAGTGAGTGAGTGAGTGAGTGATTAAGGATGATCATTGGGTCGTGTTTGTTTCTGGCATATGGATAACTATATTATTACCAACTTTGTCCAGTGCATGTAAGACTACTACACGCATTTGAACTCGGAATGGATAAGGTGTACTTAACTTTTGAACTAAAACAAAAGCACTCACTGTATTCTCCAAAGAGTTTTTCTCGTGGATAGCATCTCATTTCATGAAAACCGTTATAAGTAGTATGTATTGTTAACAAACTTTATCCACAAATATCATAACCAATAATGTTAGAACTGTCGGTTGGATCTCTAGTTGGCTATATAATGAGAGCCAATTTGCACAGTTTTGGTTACATGTGAATTCATCGGATATTAATCACCAATTTTTCAGTTATTAATAAAGATTCTCCTATTGTAATGTACGGCTAACGTTCAGATTGAATTTCATTGCTCGATTGGCCTGAGTACGAGACTTCAAAAGCAATCTGCGGATCAAGGCATCGATAACCTATTCCATTTTGGTTTTGTGCCAAGGGTTGAAGTGCTTTCTGAAACGCATGATTATCACACACTAGCAATCCACCAACGATCAGGCTGCAAAATAGCGCCCTCAGCGGTGCTCAGTTGCTTCAGTACAGTTGGCGCATATCGATGCACGCGTGGACCAGACTGTGCCTCTTCCAGACCCACCCAGCGTGCGTTCACTTCTGTTACTTCGTGTTGAACGCCGGACTGTCGGAGGGGGTAGTTCAGGGAGGGGGTAGGTTGTGGCCAAGCGGGATCACTGTAGAAGGGATGCTGTTGGGGAGGATAAGGGGAGGGTACTGAACATGTTGACTATGGACAGTCGAATCTAAGTTGGCCAGGATAAGCAAAAGCGAAACGCACTGTAACTCACGAGTCTGTTCATCTAACCATAGCGAGGAAGCAATTTTAATAATTGAATAAACATGCATGTATCATAACTATATTTGCACTAATTAATAAATCTAGTTAAAAAACATTATAATTTCTAAAGAACCTAGTTTCAACTGTATTAATTTAATCTATTCAAACTAAAATTACAATGATATATTTTACTATTTATTTTACTGGTGCGTTTTATTCACGACTTAGAATTTCTTCTTTAAATTTGTAAATACATGCTTTTATGAGATAATGTTGTAGGGTATTGACATGGTCAAAAATACTAAGAAAAGTAAAGCACAGACATTCTACAAAGAAACGTTGCCAAATGTGTACCATTTTACGTAATCATTTTACTGAGATTTTTTTCGGACCAATTTGTCAAACAATTTTTTTCTTTAAACTTATTACAAATGTCACTTGAAACCTTTTAATTAAAGTTTTATCTATTAGCAAGTTCGAATAGCACATTGCTGTTACGTAAAACTACACAAACGTATTCTTTTTCTGTGTGCATAATCAACTACCCTTGAAAGTCGCTTTTTCTTTTCTTGACTCTCTTTGGTAGATGCGTTTGTAGGCCGTAGGCGTCGAACCCGGACGAGGTGAGTACCCAAGGAGCACAGTGAAAAAGATTTGGTAGAAGGTTCGACAATGCTCTTACAATGTTTCCAAGATTACTTGGATTACAATGGATGCTTCGGAAACATGTAATTTCTACTGTGTAGACAATATAGCCTACCGAGTTGTGTACTTTCTTGTGTACCTGGGTATCAGGAATAGCGTGGATTTTAAAATCAGTGAAAAAAAATTGAAAACAAATACACGTAAGAACACACAGGAATACCCAATTACCACCCTGCTTCAATTATAGAGGCATAATTACTGGTCCAAATTTTGTGCCTTTTACAGATTATTTCCTTTGAGCACGTCGATTTCATTCTTAAGAAGTGAAGTATTCCTTCCTTCATTTTGACTAAACTAAAGCTTACTCCAGCGTATTTTGCTTTCAGTAATGAAAGAGAAGGCATTTTTTAATTCAGTGTTTAAGATGATCCACTCTTTGCCTTTTAGTCGCTCGCGAGGCTCTAGATTCGCAACCGCCGGTCTTGGTGAATGGAACTTGTCCCTTATCTATGACTGTGTACGTCGACTTTCCGTCATCGGAAAAGATTGTCCCGGGTCTAAACCAAGAGCAAGTGACGAAAGCCTATACCAGTTCGGTAAGTACTCAAATCTCCAGGAGTCAGTTGGTGAATAGATGCGGTACAAGATAATGATGTGTTGAAGTGGCTGGCGTAATCAAGGACAATCCAAAGAAGGATTGTAAAGCATAAAAAAGTTGACATCCATCGTTTGGGTTACGAATGGTGGAAGACAGTGTACGTTGAATATGATACATACTGAAGACTTGGTTATTAAATGCAGAATATAGGTGAAATGCTGAGTGTGAAATAAAACGTTTTCAATGCAATTACGTTGCTTATCACTCACACTGTGTAGCAATTTCATATTCCTAAAGACGTAAAGAGAGTGTGCACGACATCATCAAAATGAGATATTGTACTCAGCATGCTTGTTAGTTTGGCTTGATCGACACCGTGTACAGATTGCATCGAATATGTATTGACTTGGACATGTCGTCGTCCTGTACATGTATCAAGGAGTGACGTCTTATGGCCAGGACTTCGTGTGTTTGGCTCGTCGCGAGACATACTTTTCCCACTTCAACAGCTGCAGGTTCAGGGAATACAGGATTTTGATTTTCTAGTTAAAAACTTGTGTTATTTCTGCAGTTTGAGAAGATAAGATGGCGGCCCAGCCCATGGCGGCTACTTCAATGCCTCCAGTTTCCTTATCACATCAAGTATTAGGCCACAGATGCCGTTGGCAACAAGTGGATCTCTATTTGTTCATTCACCGTCAATGTGAAGGCGAGTAGGACATGTTTCTAGCCATTTTTGGAATCTTTGTTACGGAGTGTTACCAATGAGTACAGAGAGGTTAAATCATTTGGAAAATCAGTAAACAATGATCAGGGCTTGTATGCATAAAGGTGTGGCAACACTGGTATGCTATGGCACCGAAACAGTATGAACAGAATAGGCCTACAGTATAGGGAGGAGACTTGAACCACCGCATTACAGAAGGGGGTAGGATTTTTTTATCGGCATTTCGTGTGTTTGGGCTGCCATTGCAAAAAAAAATAAGATGGCTGCCTAAGTATCTCTAAAGCTGTCAAGAGAATTTGAGCAAATTAATGACAGTGATTTTCTGACTAGTGCAATGCACCAGTACGGCTTTAATGGATTAAGAAGCTATAACCGACAGTTTAACCATACCTTTGCTATTCCCATCCAGGCTGGAGATAAGAAGCTACCAAAGTAGAGCGACAGCAATGCCCAGCCTGTCTGCATGTCAACGGCAGTTACTCATCGGCAGAGACTGTATAGTATCTGAGGTGAAACCTAGCAGAAACATTAGACCAGCAGATACACTTTACTTTATATGATATACGTAATGCTTCATATCACAATTATTAGGCTTTCCTGTTAACACCATTTTAAATTGCTAATACATTCAAAATAAATTTCCATAGTGAAAAATATAAATATAGTTTCTCAAGTTTTCGAGTACTTTGAAACATACTCTGCAATTTACTTCTACAAAATACTCTCATCGACGTGCTTGTACTAGTCCTGCTCACACATGTATTTGCACTTCAGTTGGCATGGTCGAGGTAGAGTTGACTCTTCAAATAAAACAAAACACATCTGCATCTGCAGTTGGGTGTACAATGAGAGTCGATATTGCACACTACTTTATCACATGCGGATTCATCGGGTATCAATTACACATTGAAGTGATATCCTTATAGCACTGATGTCATCAATTCAAAAAGAGATTCTTCCATTGTAATACAACTAAGAAAGAATACAGCCCAACATTCAGATCGAGTCTCATCAAAACAGGCTCTAACAACAAAAGGTTGACGGGTGAAAATAACAATACGTTTTCTGCATGCACTATTTTGTACATCCCCAGTGTGGTTATTTGACTTCCCTACATACCGAACTGTATCCTACAAATAAGGCAGCTAGACAAAGCCCTGCAAATAGCTGGTCAGGTCTGAACAGGCACGGTTCTACAGGGGCAGGGGGCTTAGAGGCTTTGCCCTCCCCCATGCAAAAATTGTAAAAGGAAAATTAAAAGGGCAGGGTTCGCAATTCTCCATTTAATATTTGGGTTTTTTTCTCGACTCCCAAAGTGAGAGAGCAGTATTGAAAGTTAAAAGGTGACATCACGTGTGAAGGGTCTAGCCCCCTCCTCAAATAATGGCTGTAGAACCACGGCTGGGTGTGAGTTATGTGTGAGCGTATGTATAAAACAATTGCGATCACGATATTATTCATAAAATCCCTAACTGTCACTCCCACAACAACCCTCGATACCCCCAACTTAAAGTTCTGTGTATGCTGCCGTGGCTGTAGGCATGGAGTAAGGCACTGTATGTAGCAGAGACAATGCAGCCAGATTGTTACGCGAGTCAAAGGTCACACACGTGGATTGCGCAAACACGCCAAACAAAAAGTTTGTACATGTACAAAACAATACACTTCGGCATGTACGCACACTGTACACTACGTATTGACGTCACATCTTACACACTGAAAGGTCCCGAACAACTGCGACCAAAACGTCGCCACTCATTGAAATTCGTCCAAAACCAAGCAACTGAGTTACACTCACCTGATCTATGGACAATTCCCTTTCCCTTTGATGGGTGGGTTCGGACACCCCGTACAACAACAGCTCGAATAGCCAGTGTAGACTCCTCTGCGCCGCGCACACATCTGTACGCAATGGCGGCGTTCACGGTTCATTACTGAAGTGCGCGTGCGCAAGATTAGCGCTTAACGACTGCATTGCAGAACAGGCTGCGTTCCGATTGCGAAACGAAGAGTCGTCTTTGTTGATGGATTTTCAGGAAAATGCTGAACTTAAGTAATTTATTTTCAAAAGCCTTTATTTTGTGCTCTTCGTCAGAAACTGTAACGCAAAGCCTAGCTTAAAATAAACATACACTGTACACTTTCAACGGCCCGCTCGCACTTCTTGCCGCCAAGGCCATTTGTATGTATGCGTGCAAATTATGAATTTATTAGTGAACTGTGAACTTTATTAGTAAACTGTGACAACACTTGTTTATATATGACACTGACGGGCACTAAAAAGTAAACAAAATGTGGAGTATGCATACGCGTATGGGGAGGTATGAATACGGTCGGTATTTTGAGCGTATATTTCAATGCCCAGCCTGTCTGTATGTCAACGGTTGTTACTTAGAGCAGAGTGTACACTATCTGAGGCAAAACATAGCAGCAACAAAATTCAAATTAGACCAGTCGATTTGCTTTATTTCGTATGATTTACGTAATACTTTTATATTTAAGGCATTCCAACTGACACAGATTTAAATTACGCAAACGTTTTAAAAATGAGTTTCGATTGTGAGAAGTACGCAGGTAGTTACGTAAATTTTCGAGTAAGTGTACAATACTTTGGTATTTTGGATTAACAATTCTTCAAAACCATACAGGGAAGAATTTAGGTATGGAAATTATATCAGAAAAATGTAAACACTTCTTAAACTTGAGATATCTGCATTTAAACTTTACTCAGATAAACACTCGGATACTTAGATATAGTTACTCTTTTACTTAGATAGTCATTCAGTTATACGTTTGATAATATAATGTACTCCATTTATACCCTCAATACTCCAATATTCACAGGCGCTTGCGTGTACGTTTTAAGCTGATTTTTGTTTTTGCATAGTTTATTAGTCACCATCATTTATATTTCATGCCGAAAGCAACTGTTCATAGTATCAAGTGCCGAAAAAGAATTTGTTAAAATTGAACAACGAATGCCCAAAAGGCAGAAAGGGGTTTTGTGTACAGACAAAATTCAAGGCCATTTGGACCATTTATTTGTCTTTTTTCGCAAAATAAATTGAACAAGCATGAAAAATGAACAGCTGCTTTGAGAACAAGTCTTTTTGTTCACTAAACCCAATTAGACTTGGAAGTAACAGCTGTGAAGATTTCGAGGATTTTTTTAAGAAAAAGGCGAAAACCTTCAAGAATTTCATGGGGAAGAGGTGAACCCCTGTACTGGACAGCTGCATGCAGGACCAGTGAGCACATAGACCAGTTGAGCACATCAACACATATCATATCAGGATCGAGCCTCTCGCGGCGTTGGGTGGCTTTGATTGGTCAACCTCGGTTGCACGCATTGATGTAAACGAATGGCGTAGGCCCTGTGCACCGCACTTTATTGGGGGCAAGTATAGTCTTTGTTCCAAGACTTTCCCATGCACTGCTTTTAGCCAAAAATTAATTAATTTAGACTACAGAGGGCACTATTTACTTGGATTCGTGTCTGACCTCGAACGAAGATGGCGATTCGTCTGGTGAGATTATAGCAACCTCTAACAGTGATGGTTTTTGATCGTAGAATAAACTTGAGGAGGGGGTCTTGGAACCCAAATTAAGTACTTAGCGATGGTGAAAATGAAAACGATATAACGATGGATGTGTCAGCTCCGATGGCTAAGTGAAGATAGTGACACCTGAAGTCCCAATGCGTAAACGAGGCGGATGTTAAGGGAAACGATAGACAACAGCTGATTACACAACTGATGAAGTAAATGGCGCCCTCTTCATTAAAAACGAATTCCACGGGGCAAATGGCGATTTACAATATTTTACACCTCTTCAACCCAGGGAAGTGACTCAAACTAGAGAAGGTTCGTAACAAGATAATCAGAGGTAAGCAAAGTTAAACCACTCAAATCAGAAATGTTTTCTATGTGCAATTTATTTGCATGATCATTTCATGCACGATATCTTCGGCGTGTACTCGAGAACCCTGCCCAAAGTGTGCCTTAACATCAGAGCAACAACCAGGAACACGTTTAATGTGGCTTGCACTTCCGGAAAAGGTAGGCCTACATGTACATCATCCATCGTATGACATTGTTGACTAAAATCACTTTCATTCCCTATTTGGCTGGTTTCTTGTTGTCGCTGCTCTTTTGTTTTACATTCTCAAATAAGGTATCCGTTTTTGGTTCGCTCAGTTGCGCTTTTATGCATAACCACTACAAATTTGAAGCTACATACACTTTATTTTGGAGACGGCCAAGATTGTGTCGTTATTTTACGCCTTGATCCGGTTGTGAACCGTTTCCAACCAGTGTTTCCCCTTTTAGTCGGAACAATTTCGTCACAGAGGTATAACCTCAGTCGCGAAAACATTCGAACAATAATTGCCACAGCAGGGATATTCTGGTCACGCTCCCGCAAACGAGCCCCTCGATTTTCTGTCCTGTAAACGTACTCTCACCACTTCACCACCAATTTCATGTCAAATGCATAGTGAAAGAAAAGTTCAAACACCTGCAGTATTTGCGCCAACATTATCGGTGTGACTGAAGAAGGGACCCACCAAACGTCTTATGACTTTCCTGATAGCATCTTCAGCTGTCGAAAATCAGTCTATTTTAATATTCAAACAAACCCGATTTCGAATGTAAACATTAACTTCCTGCAGCTTTTGGAAACCCTTTTGCCCCTATAGCAAGCTTCTTAGTTCCTAAAATCTTGACAAAAGCCTGAAGATTCCAAACGTCAATTCTTTATTCACTTTCTTAGCTAAGATAATCAATAGTATTGGCCCATTGAAAATCATCTGTTTTTTAGATGACATGGCTACCATCTGTAAATAAAGCTATTATTATTATTATCATTTTTGGTCCACTTGATTATTGCACAATCCTAACCGTGTACAGGGGCTTTCCACGTTCAACTCCGCTAGGTTTTACTTTATTCATGATTGTAAAGCTTGGAAGCAATCTTCTTCATGCCTGAACTAATTCGGGTATTTTGCATTCTGCACACGCACACAAACTTTATTGTGCCCAGGCAAACATGAGATTATTTTGCAACTTGCGGGAAGGACTAGGGGCGTTCCAGTTGATTAAGTTTCACCTGGTTGAAGTGGGATAAGTCAAGCAGACAAAGAAAGAAACCGAACCACAAAGCGTGAAGTTAAATTGTATTTTTCTTGTACGTTAGTGCCATATGGAACAATGCCAAACACTCCACCTTTGGATGGCCGAGGTTTGTCAGATTTTACCTCGAAGTTAACTTTTCCCAGTATCGTGCAGGTATATGTAGTACTCACTTTTGATTTTGCTGTTCTGTGGGTTTGTTAATTGCACGAGAATGGTCAACACTGATAGCACAGATCGTTTGCTGGAGGCGAGCGGTAGTTTTGCCGACCTTGAAGGTTTGAATACCTTGGGTCGGATCCCCTCCACACCTCACCGACTCCAAGACACCTTGACCGCTTCACTGTTGGAGTCCCTGCAATTTCATACCGAAGGACAGAGCATGCTGTTCGAAACGCTGGGTACCCTCCGGTTCTTTTCAGAACCGTACCAAAGAGATATTTGCAGGTGCTACTGCAAATCTATTACCTTTCTTACATAGTTGTACTGAAGAAGCATTTCTGCACAATTTCAATCGTTGGTAATTAGTGGAAATGATATGACGTGTATATTCCATGCTCACGGAGTTAAAATGACATCATGAGACTCTTGCGCTAAGTACGGAGTATGTAAATGTGACACGTTTTTAAGAGTTGACCCAGTTTCTTGAAGCCCGAAGTGCGTGGTTTCACGGTTGCTGCTATTTTCAAGGGAGGGGTTCATGCACATTACAGGTGGTTCTTTAAGCTGCTCCGATGGAAGTGCACTAAATTTGGCAGTAGTTTGCCCCCATAGCATTTCAATGCTTCGATTTTCTTTGATTTGATTTATTTACCTTTCACAAAATAAAAACCCTGGATACTGCGGGACAAGAGGGACAGAAAAACAAGCCTCTAGACTGTAATTTAATACATTTGAAGAAGAAACCACTATTAGTGGTAAAAACAGAGATAAAGCAAAAAAAGATTGAAAAATTTAATTCTATTGTGGTCCCAAATACTGGTTTCCTTCACGAACTTGAGTGAAAGCAGGAATTGGTCCCTGTCAGCGCTATGTGTAAGGCGAGGTACAGTACAGCTGCAAGTATGGTTTGTGTGGCAGCATGTTGTGATGACTAGAGAAGTTAATTCTACAGTCCATGAGCAGTTTTTTCTGAGTGGTGACTGTTCTCATCTACTGCCCACTTCTTAAACTGTACAGCGGGCTCTATACTACTTGATAAGAATTTAGAATCCCGCGCCCCTTTCATCTACACCAGTGAGTTTAGTGATGCAAGGGAAATTACATCGACATGAAATGTAATTGTACATTTCTTAAACAGCGATTGATTGGTTACTGTTACGGTTGCCGTCATGAGATCATGCCTTCTGTGTCCAATCACCGAGCTTCAATCGGAATTCAATAGGAGCAGCAGAGTTGACAAGATGAAAAATTAACGCTGAGCTTCTCTCAAAAGAGCGTGATGTCACTGTTCCGTCCCCTAAATCGTTTGCAACTGGCAAGAGAGAGCCACGCGTGACTGGGCGGAGTCAATCCTTTGGTTGATGATAAACCGTAGTTCAGGGCAAATTGACATCACAACCAGACTTCGAAATGGAGCTGAAGACAAGTTCCCGCGTCTGTGCTGCCCTGTGCGTGTTGCTTCTCTCGCTCCCAGCATCAGGTGGGTTTAATTTGTTGCAGGTTTTAATTTAAGTTCGTCTGTTTGTCGACTGAAATGGACTTTAAAATGTTGGCGACCGACGAAGACAAGTGTCTCTACTCTTTGTCGTGTAAACATAAATCGTGCGCAGTTTCTGGATTGACCGTGTTTTAAGTGCCTTTAACTCTGGCAATACTTTTTGTTCAGCGTTCGGAATTACTGCATACACTATGTAATTTCTTTTCAGATGGATGCCCGCCCACGCCGCCCCAACCCGATAAAAGTAAGTAGACGATCACGTGACAATTTGTAGAGGTTTGGGGGTGTGCACATTGTTCGTTTATTTATCCTACTGATCTTATCCGCAACACTATTGACGTTAAGACACATGCATTTCATCAAACTACTTCAACAGCTCTTGTATAAACATGAGCTTACAAAGCCGATATATAAATCATGGTCAAATTTGTAATTATCACGGTCATAAATGCCCCTTGAATTTTGCAGCGTAGGCCATGCCACCTAGCAAGACAGTGTATCCCTTTGTGGTTTGTTTTGCACCTGCTTCGTTCCTTCTTCTTTTTTCCGTCTCCTTTCAGGTTAATTTTTCTGAAAGTGCTTATACCACTTTGTGAACCTTAAATGTAGAGATTTTAAAGTTGAGAAAACAATGTGTTTTTACCTTCGAACAGTGCATTTCCTCTTTGCTTGTATTCCCTGTAAAGAAACAATTGAAAGTAATGCATTCGCAGCAGAACGAACCGAAAAAAAAGGTGGGAAAAAGAAAGGTGGGCCAGAAAGACATGGGTGATTTCCATAGCTCATTGTCCGTGGAACCTAGGATAACAGAGGCTTTTGAAATTGTCCAATCCACTTGAAAGTTCTTGTTATTAAAAGTTAAGCGTAATGAAACTCAGAAAACAAATGAAATGAAAATGTACTTGTAGGGCTCATGAACCACCTAAATTAATTCATTTAAGTATGCTTTGTGAGGTTTCTTCTCTCTTTGATCTTTTTTCCAAATGATATGATACATCATGACAGAAATAATTTCTCGTGTAATTTATTGACACTGCTATTTTGAATCAAGAAGCTTCGGTAGTTTAAATTTCCAGGTAGCTACACATGATCCACTCCACCGAAGAGGCTAATCGAATATTAATTACAAGGTTAACAAAGGTAGACTGCACTGAAAAAGCAAAAAGGACGAATTTAGGGCCCCCGACTTAGTTCAAGTTCTTCTTAGCCGGAGTGGTATCGTGTGTGTTAGGCATCTGGTTCTGCAATCTGTATCCAGAGCTGTCAGAATTTATGCATTTCACGGTCAATTCCTGCTTTTGTGGTGTTCAGTCCATGATTAATCAAAAAACGAATATCTTCCAATGAACTAAACTTTGGGTATAGGCCTATAGTTTGTGTAGAAAACATCCCGAACTGGAGAATTTGTTGAGTTGCATCTACTGGGTTTAGGTAAATATATATATCTAACGTGTGTGATTTCTGCGATACAAGTGTAGTTTTTCCCGATAGATTGTTCAAGCTAATCACCTGCTTGCCTTTATCCTTTTTTTACCCCTTCGCGTAGCTCCACCGGTATTGGTAGAGGGAACCTGTCCCTCCCCAAGGACTGTGTACGTGAAGAATCCGTCGACGGGCATAGCTGTCCAATGGCCTGAACCGATGGCAACTGACCCAAGTACTCCGGTCAAGTAAGAAATGAAATCTGTTTTCAAAAGCAGTTCTGCCACCAAAGCACTGTGCCTGTCGATGTCTGAAGCAGAATTCGGGATATTTTTCAGATTTTTTCTCTTATCTTAAAACTCTTGAAACACACCAAAAAATTAACCTGGGCGCTGCTATCAACTGAGGACATTTTGATGAGTGACAATAGTTTCAGTCCACCGAGCATTACTTTAATGTCAAAGCACTGGCATCCTTTTTTTTTCTTCCACAGAGTGGCACGAGCCGATGAAGGTCCAGCCAATGGCCGCGAGTTCTTTATCAATGATTCCCCTTACTACATTAGTTACTCTGCTACTGATGCAGAGGGGAACGAAAGGAACCCCATTTGCACATTCAATATCACAGTACTGGTGAGTGTGCAAACAAATTGTTCTTATAGGCCAATTCGCGGAGAAGCATTGATGCAAATAACTGACATAATGAAGATTTCTGAGTGGACAGAGCATTATGTGGGAAAAAAGTATCATGTTTGTCCTCAGATGCTGTTAAAATAATAATATCTCTAATTTGATAAAACAAACTTTTGCCACAATGGTACAGACCCCCCCCCCGAAAAATTCCTGGATCCGCCTGTGCAAGGACTTGGTTTTTTCAGCATCAGAACAACATTCTTCAAAAAGGCAACAGAAAATAGAATACTCCTAGTACGTTATTAGCCTTCTCTTTATTCATGCAGCTTGAGGGTGAAAAGATTCCACAGAAGTAAAGAGACAACCCAGCCTGTCTTCCAGCCCAGCTGTTGTTGCTTTGGTTGCTTGAAGTCGACTGTAAACTGTACCGGATACCTTGGACAAAAAAAATCAACAAAATTAGACCAGTATATTAATTCCAAGTGACAGACCCACAACTTCGGCTTTGCAAACAACCATCACAAGTACGAAGACCTTTGTTTAATTTAATATGATTAATTTTCCAAAGTTTTGCATAAAAAAATAGTTTTCTTGACATTTGCATGACATACTCAGATACACAGAATCATTATAATTGTGCCGAGTAAGGTCGGTCACGATATTGAGGTGAATGTGCCCCTTGCAGCGTGAGTTTCACGTTGAATAATAGGCCTATAGATTGACAGTTTTTTGCACTAATTACTTCTGTTTTCAGTTTGTAAGGAAAGAGAAGTCATCAAGTTACTTGCCTTTCTTTTGAACACACCAGGCAAGGCAATAAAAATTAAAAGATGTTTTGGAAAACACAGAAAGAAAGGAGTAGCTGTACACAAGGATTTGTAACAAAGCGATATGCAATGCACATATATATAGCAATCTCTGTCCAATCTGTATTATGCGTCGATTGATTGAAACTGTGTTCACAGTCATCTGAGTCCAAAACGTGGAACCAACAGTCCTAGGAATTTGATTGTCTTTCGTGTTTATAAATATCAAATAAATCCCCTGTAATTTGCAACGTGACTTTTGGGGTGAACGAGTCCTTTGTTTTGTTGGTATTAAATTTCCATTCCCGGCCATGGACATTTGTAAAGTGGGGTGGGGGGATGAGAACACGTGACACTATAATATTCATGATGTTGATGAATATCTGTATTCTGGCATTTTATAATTTTTTTCCATTTTTGAGTGATATTAAATGCATAATGGTCGTTGGGAAGTCCGAAGAATTATTCACAATCTACTTTAATTTTTTGGCTTATAACAAAAAAAAGTGTGGGGGAGGGTGATTCAATAGCACCCCACCTCAAAAAATGCGGGTATGCATACCCCCATCCCCGGGGGATCTACGCCCATGATTTTATTGATACCCATCGATCGATCAATCGATCAAATAATCTATCAGACAATCGTATGAACAATTCAGTCGATTTTTCTTAAATTCCTCCGAGACACTCTTTCTTCAAATGGTAAAATATTCTACTGTGTACAGAAGTACACCGATCGGCCCTTCACAGCAAAGCATTCTACTCGAAATTTTAACTATTATATTATTTCTCGGGTTATTGAGGGAGCTCTGTTCATTGGTGAAAGTACATTTCAATGTTAGCACCTCCTGCCTCACGCTGTTGAAAAGTCTGTCTGTTTTATTATTAAAGCCAATGGTGCTTTACTGGCAGAACGCATTAATTTATTCATAATTCTGAAACCGTCAGGAAGTTTACGGGAAAATTTGCGGGAAGGCCTAGCTAGTCTATTGCCTACGATCACACAATTAGACATTTTAATATCTAGCTGTTTACAAAGAATAACAACAAATCTAAGTTTAAACTCAATGAATTAGGCTGCTTTGACTTCACAGTGTCGCTACACTAAATATTAAATGGATGATTTGACTATTGACGGGCTGAAATAATAATAATAATATGACCACTTCGTCCCGTGCGTCCTGGGGCTTAAGACGATTTTATCGTGTAATCCACAGACCCGTTGCAAACACCTCTGATCAACGAATGGTAAACATGAAGTCCAGACTTTCGCCTGATATTCAATGTTTATGTTGCCAAGAAGCTGTTGGGTTTCTCAACCATCCGAGGATCATTTTTGAAAGAACACCCTCTCTCTTCCACATACAGCTATCGATTGAAAGAATATTGAAATAGTTATTTTGGACCGCCTTACAGCTTGGGCTGGTGTAAGAACTCGGCTGTCCCATGTGCACTTTTGCTTGGTTGCTTGCAATGTATCCTGAAATACTCACTTTCAGTACAAATGTGAAAATTCAGCTCAATTCAATATGGTTTTGATGTAATGATGTTTTGATGCCAATTGAAGTTCAAGACCGCATGTTTGCTAGCCAATGTGCACGGAGCATTTCAAAGGGAAATAATACATTTGTTTGGTTGACCTGTCTCAGAAAAACGGGCGCTGATCGAGAACGGTATATCTGATTTTTACAAAGTAGGTGTCAAAATGACCGCAAAAAGTTACAAAAAAGTCCTCATTGCTCAGCACGGGGAAAGTATACTGTGGCTACAATGTGTAAAATATCGATAGGGCGAAATAATGACTCTTTTTCCAGGTTTAAGAAAGGAGAATCAAGATGCATAGGCAGACATGTAAAAAGGCTGAAATCGAAACAGTTTCCGGTGTATACTTACACTCACAGACGCAACAAGGACTCCGAGTAACAACGCGAGAAATGTCCACCACAATTAATCATTATCCGGGCGAATTTTATTTTGAGTAAGTTTGGACTAAACATAAAAGATTTGCCTTTAACCCAAATAGGTAAATGTAAAGGGGGGCGAGTTATCTATGCTATTTTTCCCGATTGGCTTGTGTAAATCCAGCTCAGGGATTCTTACTGTTTTCAGCGTCAACGCAGCAAGTATCTGTGACAATATGACATAAAAAACCACTTAGGTATTAAATAGGTATTTTCATTACAGTGACTGGTAATAGAAGCTGCTATTTAATAATATTGTACAGATTTGTAATATTACATGACATTATTAGGCTTTCTTTAAACACTTTAACAAGCTCTGTTCAAGCTCAGTCGCTTCTAAAATATTTATGAATATAACTTTAAAATTTATTAATATATGTAATACAAAACTGCTGCAAACTGCGTGCTGACTACAATGACCTAAAATACAAAGTTCAAACGATGGAGGGCCTGACGTTTCGATCCTAGCAGAATCTTAAAAAATTATCCGCTAGGATCGAAACGTCAGGCCCTCCATATTGTAAGATTTCAAGATTTACAATATAAAACTTGAAACTTTAATACGTGTATCATTTCATAATTTTCAATAGTTAACTTTTTAGTGCTTCAAGCCCACTTGGTTACCCAGTCGATTGCGCAATCTCATAGTGAACAGGGACTTTTCTCATTCAACTCCGTTGGTCTGCTTTATTCAAGATTGTAATGTCTAGAAATAATGTTTTTCACGCCCGAATTAATTCATTCTTTGCAAAGTTCATTCTTCCTATGAACAGGCTGTATTGCGTTCGAGCACATGCCAGATTTTGCAGAGGGAAGGGTTAGGAAACTTCCTGTTTGCCAAAAAAGAAAGAAAAACGACAGCACTCCATGTACGCAGATGGTAAATAAAGTAACTCTGAATGCTTACCGAAAAAAACGGAAACTGTGCGTTCATCATTCATTTCAACATGAAGGGGAACAAGTTTTGGGGGCGAATGCCTCCTCGACCATGCATCCCATATTAATTTCTGCAAGTTGGGGAAGCGAGGGAAATTCCAATCATCTCCCAAAATCTTCTCCTATTTGAATACAAAAGGGTTGAGAAAACACTTACAAAGAATATTTAAATGTAAAGTGTTTCCATAACACTGTTGAAACATTTCCCATTGCCTTCATCCACGCTGTCTGGTGTTTAAAAGGAGCTATTCTTACTAAACACAAGCGCTTTGTGTAGCAAGAGTGATTCCCTCTACCTGGAAATTGGGGGGCCTTTTTAGTCGAAGTCTCTGGATATCCCACTGCATCCAGTCGACGTACCAACCAGACGCTTACCCTTTGTAAATCCATAAAAGCTGTTCACCATTGTTTGGGGGAAGGTATTTGTCCTCTGTTGTACTTATAAAACATGTCGTTCACTACATTGTAAAGAGTTTTATAAATAAACATATTTTCAATTGATGTATCGATGATGCAATTCGTGTGTGTGCCGTAACAAACGTCACTACAGCAGCCAAACACCCGAACAGGTTTTACAGCGACATGTTTTGTGCGCTATTTCAATCGTTGGTAATCAGTTGAAATGGTAAAGCAATTTTTGGATACGAAAACGTATACTCTACAAAGCCCAAGTGTCATCATAAGGTTTGTTCGCCAAGAACATATGACAATATTAGAGAATTTAAAGTAGATCCCGGTACAAACTGTATTGCAATAAGGTGATGCGAAATATTTAATTATATGGACTTTAAGGCTGTATTTTACGGGTGATCATCTTTGTCAGAAATTTCTCCCCAAAGTCGTCTGATCACCCCCATGGACAGAAACTATAATATTGAAATAGTGAATTTGGCTTAGATATAAAAAATGCCTGAAAGGCCATGAAATAGTTGTAGCTGTTTTCCTGTTATCTATTATTGTTGTCTATGGCACTTCTATTGCTGATTTGCAACATGAAAATACCTGGTTACACGAGTAGCTGGTTTAAGCTCTGTATTCCCCATGGATAAATAACCATTTTTTTTAAAGCTCTCAATATTTGCTATGTTTTGGGGGTTTTTTTGTGTTTTGCCTATTGGTTTGTTTGTTGTTTTATTTTTGTGTGCGTATGACAAATGGTTTTTTTTCTGTTCCCATTGAAGTAAACTGATTTGGTAGTACACTACCCACTATGCTCTGCAAATTTTGCGTTTCCTTAACAGTTGTTGTGAGCGCTACGTGAGAGGCAAGCTATGACGGAACTTAGGGACAACTTCCAATGTATAATTATGGTTTTGTGGCAGCGCGTTGTAATGGATGGAAAAGCCAGTTGTAAAGCCATGAATGGTTTCTTCCGACAATGAATGTTGATTGATCTCATCGACTCCCTAGTGCTAAATGTAGCATGACGCTATTATGACTTGAATGCTGCAAGAAAATTACACATGTGAAATATGATTGCCACATTAACAGATCGAGGCTTAGGACGCACTTTACATTGATTGGTCGCTGCTCCCATTACGTCATACTTTTAGTGTCCATAGCACACGTGACTACTGGACGGAGTCGACGGGTGTTAAAAGTAGAGCGGAGCGAGGTGATTTCACAACTAGACTTCAAGATGGAGCTGAAAACAAGTCTGTCCGTCTGCTTCGCCCTGTGCGTGCTACTTCTCTCATTCCCAGCATCAGGTATAGGTTTAATCTGCTCTTTCACTGCAAGTTCATCTGCCATTTGACTGATATTGATTTGCAACATTTCGACCGACGAGGACAAGTCCCTTACTTTTGTAGCAAGTCTATTTTATCGCGATGGCTGCCTCCCCCTCCTCGTTTTCCCACTTTAGAAAAGAAATCCCTAGGATTGTACAATCAACCTGTTTAAACGTAAAACATGAATTGAAGATAGGGGAACGAGAGAGTCGCATCTGGTCTCCTGAGAAAGTCCTACACTGTCAAGGCCTTATATTTCCTGCTCGAATGGCAATCTCCTTGAGTTCTGGAATTGGCATTGTTGGTTATGCCTAAACCATCAGCATAAAATCTTACGGTGTGGTGTAATTTCTTTTGCTGGTTAATTCAGATAACACAAACTTGTGGGGGGGGGAAATTGCTTTCTTTTATTTGGCAGATAAATGACTGCATATACACTTGTAATTTCTGTTCTTTTATGATCTCTTTCAGATGGATGCTGCAGAGACCACGGTAAGTAGACGATGATTTGAGTGTCCGTAGAAATTTAGGATTCATGCATAAGTCACTACTCAAGAAAAACGGAAGTTTCACAATGAATGATTCCTGGTAGACTTCAAGGCGTATATTCCCGACAAATTGATCCTTTTTGTGTTTGTTTTTCTGCTTCTTTCCTCCTTCCGCTTTTTGTATTTGCCGTTAACAGTACATGTAATTATGAATTGGTTGCACTGCTTCGTCTCCACGTGACACTTGAAATGCTGCCGCTGTGACGTCCCTTTAAGTACCCACTTTATACTGCGTAGGGATTTTCTAAACAAAATGTGAACAAATTCAGGACAAAAAAGTACCTCACTACCATCACTATACGTTTTTATGGAATGCAGCCGTACGGACACACTGTAAATGAAAAGTCTAATTTGGCACGATTTAGTGGACATTTAAGACTCTTCAAGTTCATTATCAGACATTCGCTAAAAAAATACGCAAATTTGTGTCAACATAAAAGCCAGAAAGACACTGACCACCACAGAAAGCCAACCTTCGAAAATGCGCTCGCAACTATAACTTTGCAATGCCCACCGAAAATCTGTTCAAAATGCATTTAATTCATTGAAAACGCTGAGATGTGTTGGAGATATTGTCTTGAAGTGACTTCCTTCAATCAGTTTCTTCAAAATGGTATAGTACAAGACAAAAGAAAAATCATATGGAGTTTAGTGCCATTGCTGTCTGTGAACAAAATGCAAATGTTTAACAATTCCCTTGTCTGCTACTGTGAAGGTGGATGTGAATAATCGAAATTGAAAATGACATTAAATTGAATTCACTGGCTGAGCACCTGTAACTTTAAATTGTGGATAGACTCTGGGTATAATAAACTTACCAAACTAGAAAATTTGTGCCTGAACTTTGATTTCATCCGCTTCATAAATATTTCAATTTTTCACCTTCTGCATAGATCCACCGGTTTTGGTGCCGGGAACATGTCCTTCCTCTATTACCGTGTGCCCAGACCCACACTCATCCGGCAAGGTTGTCCGCTGGGCTGAGCCAAGAGCAACTGACAAAAGCCATCCGATCAGGTAAATCAATTTCCGAAAATGGCTGTGCTTTTATTCAGAGGTGATCCTTTCTGAACCACAAATGGGTTTTTTTTCAGACTTCTCTCCAATCCTACCACTTTTAACAGAAAATTCAACCTCAATACAGCTCTCAACAGATTAACTTCGCAAGGAACGATTCACAATTTATAGTTTCACCAGAGGGACAAATTCTTGCTGTTGTTAATGGTCCGTTTTTACATGTATTCGCTTGTGAAATCGATTTTGGGTGGATATTTCGAAAAGTCGAATTCCACGTTTGGATTTTTACGCAGTAGATTAGGCCTACTCTAATTGTGAATACGATGCGGGAAAATTACGATAATAATTATGTGTAAAATGTTGGCTCCATGTGAAATTAAAAATGATTGTGTATTCAGTTGAGTGACTTTATCACTGATGTGGTATGAGTGTACGGTCCAGTGGGCAGGGTAGGAGAATCTTGAAGAGCGTTTGGCCTGTGCTGCTAGTGGAGAAATGTGTCTGTTTTCGTGGTTGGCAGCAGCGACGACAGCGCATGAGAATTTCATTTTTATACAATCCCACCGATTAGCCTACTTTAAATTGTTCTCTCCTTATCTTGCCTAAGAGTGACGTTACATGCTCTGCATAGGTCAGGCATGTGTTTCCATTCTTCCCCAGGTTTTTTAGTGGTTTCTTGTATCTGGCGATAGCAATAGATGCAAAGCTTACAATATCGTAGTTATTACTGTTGCGCAGCTGGTTAATGTCGCTCCCACTGTTAAGAGTGTACAGTGAATTCAAATGATAAGTGTTTCTACACGTAGATTACTCTGTTACGTTTGCGATTGTGGAGACAATGTGAAGACAAATAAGTCGCGAAATTCAACTTGAAAACACATGTTCTACTTTCGTCAAAGTAGTAAATGCAATCAAAATGGGCGGGTGTAAACCGGCTGATAGAGATCGCGTACAAACAAACTGATAGCATATGCGCTTTGTTTTGTGTATGATGAATTTACATGATACCTATTTCATGTACCTGTTTTTCGTTTACAGAATTGACAGAGAAGATAGCTGCCCACCCAACGGTGGTCTGTTCACTGTTCACGGTTCCCCTTACCACATCGTATACTCTGCAACAGATAGCAAGGAGAACAAACGGAACCCTCTCTGTTCATTCACAATCACAGTCAGGGTACGTACGTAGTAGGCTGAACTTCAGCCAGTTGTCATAGAACCATGGGTACAAATTGATTGACAAGCAGGCTCTTAAATGGACGCAGATTGAAATCCAGTGGGGGAAGAGCAATCGTGAGAATTCATTACAAATTTGCTCACCAGATCTTCTCAAATTAATCGCTAAATCTAACGCCACCGAATTTCGCCACATCGATGCATTTGTTACCCCAAACCTGTGCCATATCTTGTAATAACCAGATGCTTCGATTAAAAAACAAAAACCACAGAAAACAACAACGACTCGCTACTCAGAATCAGACCAGCTATTTTCTTCAACAAAGCAAAAGAAAATAACTATTGATATGTTTTATCCTTTCCTTTGCCCATCCTGTCTCACTAAAAGTACGATCTTCACTGCAAACACAAGTAAAGCTGTATCTACGTCCAGCCTGTCTGCACATCAGCGATGGTTGCTTGAAGCAGAGTGCACTTTGCCTGATGCCTGAGACGAGAAAAAGAGCGACAAAATTAGACCAGTAAATTAACTGCCAGTGACCTTCAGCTTGGGCTTCAGGTTACAAAGGGCCACCATCAAAATGTGTCGACTTTGGTTTAAAATTTGGCAGATGAATAAATTTCGGAAGTAACCTTCTTGAAATTCAGCAAAACTCATTTGCCAATGGGATAAACATTCATTTTGTAATCAAGAAATAGCAAGAAGCCGATTAAATTTGAACTGTTTCGTAAATATGACAGGCTTAGAAATACTTTTCGGTAATATTGGAATATAATTACTCAGTTTTACTCAGAGAGTCGTAGAGTGTATGCTTGTTACAGCATGTGCTGAGGCACTTTCCTGCTATCAATTTGTAAATACGTTTCGAGCACTGATGTACAATGTTTAGCAGTTAAACACTGGCATTTAGGAATTGGAAGTATAGTGTTCAGCTCCTAAACATGTCTATGATGGGAAAGCGAGATATGGTTTCATTCCGTAAACTTGTTTAATGTGTAGCTATCTTTGAATTGTTTTTCTATTTTTACTTTTGTGAACAGATAAAAATTCAAAACCAAAAACAAACTTAATTGTCTTGATTTTCCTGCAAGCACACCAGGTCAGGTCTTAG